AAAATCAAATGGTCCACCCCATATAAAATTGCCTGAGAACTCCCATTGTCACCATTGACAATTGTCTAAGATTATGGTGACACTTTACAATGGTGCCATTTGCTATCAGCGAGGGTTGATCAATATAAATCGTTTGCTATGAATTAAATTTACTTTCCAGCAAATACTTGACTTTCAGCCGAGGTTGGAAAAAAAAATGAAAAATGAAAATTTTTTCAAAATTCCGAGGTTGGAAAAAAAAGAGAATTTTTTCAAAATTCCGAGGTTGAAAAAACCTGAATATCAACCAGGCTTTCTGAATAAACCTGGCACTAAAAATACTTGGTATTAAACCTAATTAATTAACTAGCAATCTGAAAACTTATTATTTTTTCTTTTCAATTTGCATCTTTTTGACAAATCCACCTGTAGCCCAAATAGATCTTATTTTCTAATTGTTGTGAGCTGTTACTACTCAGAGGTTTTTACTACTCATCCTTAACAAACACCTGATCGCAGGCTGGACTGTAGCTGTCAACCATAGATCAACATAATATGTGCATTCAGCTGTGGAAAATAATATACCAAAATGTCTGCCTCCTCCGCAGGCTCCTCTATGTAAGATCAAATTTAAATATCAGTAATATATAGTTCAGCGCGTGCCCTGCAAGCCCGATAAAGGCGCACGCCCGCAACTAAGGACGAGCGCGCAAAGGAAACGGTGATGCTAGAAAGTATACTTCAAAATAAGATTTCCGTTTTTATAACGTAGAAAAAACTATCCTAACGCAAAACTAAACCCTAACCCTAATACTAACCCTAACGCTAACCCAAACCCTAACATAAGCTAACCTTAAGTTATTTTAAAAAATGATATAAAAACGGAAACCTTATTTTGAAGTATACTATCTAGCAATTGCCCAAAGGAAATCCATCTTTCCGCGCGCCTCCATCGCATTAATTATTCTAATTATTCGTTTTCCTCTTAACTATTCGTTAATTAATAAGCGTCTGTCTGGGGACGAGGCAGCCAAAATGTCGCAATTACGAAGGAAGAAAGTTGCAATTATCGGCGCTGGAATTATGGGTGTTTCAACTGCAATATGCCTCCAAGATGCAGAGCCGTCTTTAGATTTAGCAATTATAGCTGAGAAGTTTTCACCAGATAATACGAGTGATGGCGGTGCTGGTTTATGGTCGTCGATTCCAGGGTTTTGGATGAAAGACACCGTAAAACACAAACAAAGGTAGCCTGTCAAGTGTCCACACTAATGCACCTATCAATGTTTTCCCCCTGAGAGGGGGGTGCGGGCAACCCAGGGGAATTTTGACATTTTTAAAATTTTGTAGTCAAAATCCCCACTGTTGGGCAAGGAACGGCTGTCAAAATTCCCTAGTACATTCCTAAGATAACAAGGCAAACATATGTTTTCCAATGCGAACATACAGTCTATACTGGTTTAAACTTGGTAAAAATTGAGACACTGTGTATAAAGTACCTTTTCCGATGAAACTTGGTCTTGCTTCTCTGCCATACTTGTTACCAGGCAAAACCGTGCAAACTTTCAAGATGGCGGATGTCAAAATTTCCCGACTCTGGGAGTTGATGCATAGGTCAAATTCCCCTCACTGGAGCTTCATAGTGTTGTCAAAGTCCCCTGGGTCGCCCGCACTCCCCCCTCAGGGGGAAAACAATGATAGGTGCATAATCGATACCGTTTTCGTAATTAAGAAACGGACGTAGCCAAAGATTAGGTATAGTGTCTGGGAATTAAAAAAAAAAATTAAATTAAAATTCTAGTTGTAATTTCTAGAATAAATTTCATGTCATTACGCATTCAGATTGGCTTAGAGCGAAAATGTCAACAAATGCGCTGATTGGCGAGAACGAAATTCCTCCTTGTTAATACACTGGTTTCATCCAGTAATATGATAATCTGTCAAATCTGTTTGCCACTATGTTCTGGGGTGTACCGAGAGGGGCACGCAGAGGGTGCAACACCCCACTTTTTAAAAATCTCAGTAAAACAAAGATTATGTTGGAAAAAGCTTGACTTGCCCGTAAATCGATTACAATGGTTAGTAAATTGATCAGTAAAGCACAGGGGCTGTAGAGGAACACCCCCACCCAGAATGGTCTGGGTCCGCCAGTGGTTGAAGCTTACTTTTTGTGGGGTGCACAGACTCCACACCATGCACATACAGAACTACAACCTGCAAGTGTTCAGTAGTGAGGTCAGCATAAACTGTCTGGTAAGTCCACAACTATTGGCATAACCCAAGGATTTTGTACACTGTAGCTGGTTCTTGGAACATTTGCTTCATAGCCCTGACCCCCAGGTTTATTGACAAAGGTCCGGTTGCAGAACCGGCGTTCATCCCCATGGCCCCACCTATAGCATGATCTGTGCTACTGTATCCTAGCTTTCTCAGTCTGTATTGATTTTTTTCTTATCTAGGCAATGGGGTGAAGCCACATTTCATTATTTAAGGTCAATTATAGAATCTGAAGAAGCATGTGACTACCAGATGAGTTATATCACAGGATATGTATTTTATGACCAAATGATGCCCGAGGTACTTGTTACTCACCCGTTATTATATTTTGAAGTATGCTGAAAAAACTCTGCCTCATTTGGATGCACAGTTGAAACTCCGAACTGATCTATAAAATATATGGCCAAGTTCTGGCACCAATGCTAGCATTCCTGAGCATTCTAGCTGTCTTACGATGAAACAGGGGAAATTCCATTTCTTTAGGAACCTCCACTGAAAGACGTGTGTCTGTATTACAAAAGATTGTCCAAAGAAGATATAAGAAAATTGGGCTTTTCGTCTGACCTCATGTAAGATTGGGTCATTGCAGAAAAGATCCACACTTCCCCTACAGAGGAATTTTCTGTTGTCCAGAGGGGGAGGGAGGAATCTTAAGTTCTGATAATAGTAAAATGTACTAGGATGTCCGAAAGGGGTTGGGGGGTTCCCCAACTAGCTGTGCGGGAGTGTGTATGTTTTCTGGGAATGACCCATTCATGAGTTTTGTGTTATTGTTAAATTCATACCATTAACAACAACAAATACATCATGCAGCTTCTAAATGTATGTTTAAACGTTTTTATGCATTTATGTTTACAAAACTTGTAACAATGCGTGTAGACTGTAGAGTTAACATTTCTACCAGATATGTGTTGCAATCAGCTTTAGTTTCAAGTTGTTTTTCTCTTTAAGCGATGGTTTTACCATGAGAACAATGGTGTTTCCAGGTACTCCCTATCTTCAAATGAAATTAAAACAGTAAGTCTAATTAAACGTCCAACCGCTGTGAAAATTACTGATAGTCCACTCAGCTGTGGTAATTGTCAGAGTGAGAAAATTATTTTTATGGGTTTCTGTAGTGAAAACTGCTGCAGACTTGTAGCAATGCTGCTCCAACAACTTGTTATC